ACAGTAAATAAACCTCTTACTCTTATTAATCTACCTTAATTATGAGCAGATCTTTCAGTGAACTTTTGGGGGAAATGGGAAGTTTCCCTCACCCCCACAACTGTTATATTAATAGAATACTGGTATACGACGGATAATTCACAATCATCTACTTCCTAGTTTTCTTTGCAGAATGAAGTATACTAGTGGATAAAAACACTTTGCATGATAAGTATGCAAGGAATATAGGTTGTGTTTTTTTCCAATATAAAAAGAAAGTAATTTTGTCCTAAAGTAAAATGAGTAGTTGTTATAATATGAGAAAGAAGAAAATTTAGGACAGTATAGAAATATAAATATGGAAAGTTGGAGAAGGTTTATGGAAAGGAAACTTTATGTTACATGGTCAAAGGTGGCAGAAATTGGATGGATTTATTTATAAGGCGTTTTTTGGGGAAAAGAAACCTTACATGATCTTTAATATCAAATATGCATTGATAGAAAACTAGACTTTGATTTTTTCTTTGGTAAAAATGACAAAATTTTCTTGGGTTATTGGTTTGTTCTTAATAATACATCATAAAAAGTTTTTCTTTACTTTTTAAGTAATCTGGCAAGAAAGCAAATATTCTGTGTCTGAAAATAATTTCCTATGCTTTATCATTTTCTTGATTATTTAAGAAAACCAAGTCTCATTTTTAAAGGAGCTAAGGTGTTTTTTGTTTTGTTTTATTTTTGTTTGTTTAGTTTTTTACACTCATGTTACCTTCTATAGTTATTTTGAAATCTCTTGTCATTTGGTTAAAGAGATATATAAGTATTGCTTCACAGCAATCTAAGATCCTATTTAATCAAGTGTTCAAATTTTTGACATTTTTGGCAACTTTCTGTCCCAAAATAAGATTCTAAATGAAATCTTAATCTCAAACTGACCTTAAAATTTCCCAGAGGAACCCTAGAAAATTTCAAAGGATTTGTCCTTCACCTTGTTAAAAAAAAAATGTTAAAACTAAATAGGTTTATTTTATATGTTGAATTGCATGAAAAGCTTGTCAAACAAGAGATACAAGAGGAAGACTGACAAAGACTCTGTCTTGACTGAACTTTAGTCAGGATTCTCTGAGACCTCTTCAACTACACCTTGTTTATGGCCCTGTTGTATGGTCTGCATCACCCATTTTTAAAAAATCCCACCTAGCACCATTTAGGGAGAATCTCCCACCCTTAATATCTGATCAAATTCTTCACCACCCTTGATACCTAATCACCCTGGCCTACCTTCAGCAAGAATCCTGTTAGATCAATTTAGCAAGAATACCCCCACCCTTAATGTCTCCTCTTACTAATTTTTCATCTATTAATATTTACCCCCTCATTCTTCACCATGGCTATAAATCTCCGCTTATCTTTGCTGTATTTGGAATTTAGCCTCATTTTTCTTCTCTATTGCAAGTCTTCTAATGTCTTCCTTACTGAGTTAACAAGTGTCATGAATGTTTTCTTTAATAGTTAAATTCTTTGTCTGCAACTTCATATCCTTCACCTTATATGTGGAGATACTCCCCAAATATTGAATGAATGGATGAATAAATGAATGTATAAAGAAACAAAGGGGAAATTGAAAGAGAAAAATAAATGCAGAATTCCTAAATCTAATAGATATTGTAGAAATAAAAAAACAGAATAAAGAGTAAAAATATTAAGAAATAATCCAAGCAAATTTCCAAGAGCTGAAGAAAGATATGTGTTTTTAGATTATAAGAGAAGTGTCAGGAAAAATTATAAAAGACTGAATATTGCATGCCCTGTTTATCTTATCCATGCCTTTTAGAAATTATCTTATCTATAATTGCTTTGAGCTTGCCTATTTGTAATTTTTAAATTGTAGAAACTGATTATAATGAAACTAATTTTGTACATAGAAATGCAAATTCATTGTCTGATGAAATGTAATTTATTATTATTCTGTGGATAAGACCTAGTTTTTGCCTTTATTTGTGAATTGATTTTAGTACTTTACAGCATGTAAACTTGAGAATTCTTTGGATTTTCTTTGAACAAGCTATAGCATCTTAGTAGTTCCCTCATTAAATAATGAGTTAAATAAAACTGTTGACACATGTATAAGGGTCATGATTATACCTTCCTTCGAAAATTATTTTTTAAAGAAGTCTACCAAATTCTAAGCCAAATTAATGAGAAAAGGCTCATACTTAGACATACTCTGGGAAATATATTTTAAAAAATCTTAAAACCTTCATGTTGTGTGTAAGGGAGTGTGACTTAGAATGTGGATTCAGCGGGAGCTGGGCACAGTGGCTTATATGTAGTCTCAGCTACTTAGAAGGCGGAGGTGGCAGAATCACTTGAGCCCAAGAGTTCAGGGCTGCAGTGATCTATGATTGCACCACTGTACTATAGCCTAGGGGTGACAGAGTGAGAACTGTCTCAAAAAAAAAAAAAAAAAAGAATTTGGATCCAGCTTTTCTATTTAAATAAGGACTATTGGCTAACAAAAATTCTTTGCTTTCTTAAAGCAAACTTATCAATGTCTTCTTAAAAGTTAAAATTCTCATTAAGTATCTCATTCACTGCTTCTTGAAACTTTTTGTCTATGTTTTCAACTATAATTTTATTCAGAGTTAAATAAATTTGACAACACTTTGAAAGTGTTGTCAAAACTACAAGATGTTTTGTAGGGAGAATGGGAGAAGCTACCTTAAATCAGTCTCCATGATTGACAGAGATTATGGGCTTTTTAAGGAAGGGTTATATGCCTTGGGGAAAGTCAGCAGGTCCTGGTGCAATTAACAAGGATCTAGCACACTGTGGGCAGGTGAGTCTTGGCATCAGGAAGGTCTGCCCAGGGGCCTTCAGAATCTCAACTCTTTTGTCTTGTAGAAAAGCCACCATTTCTGCAAAACAACTCAAAAGGTCAAGTAGTTAAGGAAGAAGATTATTAAAAAACATATAGGCATCATTAAAATTTGTTCATGCAGCCAGTTATAGAATTAATATAATTTATTTGCACATGGTCATGAGAGGCAATGAAATAAAATGCTTATAAACTTGGTGTTGAGAATTAGATTTCCTGGGTTTAAACCTAGGCTCCACAATTTACTGGCTGAGAAATTAAGTAATTTTCTTCTACTTAACCTCTCTGTGTTTTAGTTGCTACCTATGTAAAATAGAATTAGTAATAATAATGCATACCTCATAGGGTTATTGAGAACATTAAATGAGATGATACATAAAAAAAAAACACACTTAAAATAGTGACTGGTATATAGTAAGGACAGGGCTTGAAAACTATATGCAAAATAAGTCAGTAGAAGGATAGTCCACAGGTATTGTTTGAAAATGGGAAACAATTCAAAAGTCTATTAATAGTGGAATAGTTGCATTTACTATAAGCTATCCATGTGATAGAATACTATATATAGTTTGTAAAAAAATAAGCAGATCTAACTGTGTTAATATAGAACCATTTCTCTACATGAAAACTGCAAATTGCAGGCCAATGATACTGTATATGGTATGATTACAATAGTGCTAGGAAAAACATCACTAAATATCCATTTAAAACAACCAAACTTTCGTTTGGTTACATGTATATACACAGAGATAGAGAAATGTATACATGGGCAAATTTTTTAAGAGTAATTTTATGTAACAGAGGGAATGGCCTGAAAAAGGGTAAAATGTTTTACAAGTTGTCTCTTTAAAACTCCCCCACTCTTTCTGGGAATTAAAACCTGCATCCCTGCTCAAGGCCAGTAATCGGAGGAGTATCCTTTGTTCTTTGTATCACGGGAGATGGCTCAACAGAATTGTTGGACAGAGGTCATCAGATTGTCTTTGCTGGAGATGGGGTGGATAAGGAACATCAACTATAGTTAAATAGCAATAGCCCCAAGCTGAAAACTCCCTATAAAAGCTCTGTATTTCTGCTTACGGATAGGATGATGGTACTTTAAGATGAGAGTCTTCCATCCTCCTCAGTTGCCTGCAAATTAATAAACTTCTCTTTCCTTATCTTCAAACCACTTGTCCTCATTCTTCTGATGTGGCCTGGGGTACAAGTGTTGAACTTTTGGTCACAGCTATCTTTGGGGAGGAGCATAGTGAGGGGATATTCTAAAGGTCTGATTTGTTTATGTTCTACATTGTATTTATGTATACTAAGAAAACACTAAGAAATCTTAGTATTGGTTTTCAGAAATGTTTGCTTTCAGATACACTGTATCATATGTATGTAGTATTTTGGCTTGACAATTATTTTGTTCATTTTTCTAGTGTGTGGTTTTTGCTTGTCTTTAACAATGAACTTAATGAGCCTCTAGATGATGGTAAATGAACACATTTCTAGTTATTTTCAGATAGCTAGACAAGGAGTTGTATCTTATGATATTTTCCTCAGTTTTCTTGTAATTTGCATACAACTTCATATGTGCCTTTTTTATAGCATTTGCCAACTACTATCATATATTAAAGTTTTTATGTATAATATTAATATATAATAGATATAGGTAGTATCTTATTTTCCTAATAAGCAACTTGAGGATAAAACTTATGCTGAATTATCATTTTATTCTTGACAATACAATATTTTGCATATAATCAATACTCACTAAATAGCTCTTAGGCAAATAATACTTACTTGTATTGCTTTGTACAAAAAGGTGTGAGATTAAAAACACATACTCTGAGCAGACTACCTGTAAGTGTATTATGTAGTTCTAAATAGACTACATGTAAGAGTATTATAATTATTTGTACCATCTATCATTCCAATATTTTAATTATAAATATATACATAGTCCTTGCTTCAAGAAACATTGCATTTATGATTATCTCAAAAAAGTTTTTCCTCATAGAAATTTCACAAACAGGACCCATAAGTACAAAAGTTAGAATTGTTTTCCTTAAATCTAACTGAGAACTCAAAGAAAATATTTTAGAGCACAAAAAAACCTTATTATTATTATTTTGTTTTCTTTGCTTTTTGCATTTTTTTCCAGACATGGGATGTAGCTTTGTCACGGACTGCTAGAGCATGGGGGAAAAAATGTGTGTTTGAGCGTAATATTCATTTAGAAGACTTACAAAAGGCCCATCCTAAATTTACCGGGATTGGTGAAAATATATGGGTCGGTCCTGAAAATGAATTTACTGCAAGTATTGCTATCAGAAGTTGGTATGAAGAGAGGAGAATGTATAATTTTGAAAATAACACTTGCTCTAAAAACTGTTCTCATTATATTCAGGTATCTAATTTTTATATTGTTACTAATTCCATAGACTCCTTAATTGCTTTACTGTCTAGTTTTGTTATATTTCAAATTTATAAATAAGCTCAAATGGTAAAATTATTACTTCTAATAAAATCACAATTCTAATCAGTCCTAGATCTTCAAAATTTCTATAATTCTATTATGTGAACCACACAATTGAAACATTTCCTTAAATAGTAAATATATTCTTTATACCCTAAGATGAAAGGCACTTTTCTAAAACTAATACACACTAGGGAAAAAGGTGAGAAACAAATAAAAATTATTTATAAATTATTGACTGTAAATATAAGTAAAAGACTTGATATTTTTTTAACAGAGATCAGCACGCATACTACTATGTAGCTGATTTATTAAAACTATTAAAATTAATAGTGTTATAATATTTCCCTGCCTCATGTCCAATAATTGTCCCTCATACCTTATATTCTAGGAGTACTGAACCACTTTTCAGTTTCTGGACATACTTTTATTATTTTACATATCACCTTTGTTTAATAATTATCTATTTATATATCTCATACTACACTTAAGACAGGGACCTTGTCTTTTTATCCATATATTCTCAACACAATAACATGACATTATTTAGGTCTTCAATAAATATACTAGGAATCAAGAAATATTGAATGAACTCCCAAGTTTATTTAAAATATGATTATTTTTAAAAGATTATCTCCAATCAGTAAACCCTGGTGTTATGTTTTATGTAGAACTTAAAAGTTTGGAATTCGTTCATGTTGAGCTCGTCTTTCTGTTCCATCTAATGAATCATGCTTCAAATCTTTTTGATCACTTCTTTCTTTTTTTTGATCTGTTCTTTCTTCTTCTAGAAAGTTATAGGAATCCTCCATTGTCTTACTCATATCAAAGCTAGCCTATTTAAAGTATTAAATATGACTTTAATACCCTCACTAAACTAACCAAATCCCTGACATACAATGGTGTATTTTTTACTTCTTAATTCCAGTATCCTAGACATTTGCAGTTTTTGCATTTAACCTGCTTAACTGCACTTCAATTCTTGTAGATATTCTATTCTCTATTCTTGTAATGTGTCACTCTATTTCTTAAAAGAATCACACTTTCAAAACCACTCAGGCTTAAGATATGATAAAATAATAAAAGAAAGTAGGAATGGTACCTCTCTCTTCCACAGGGATTAACAAAACAAAACTACTACATTTTGTTCACTTCGAAGTATTAGAAATATTAAAGTCATACAGAGAATCTCTGGAATGTCTTTCATTAGTCCCATCTTTTTCACTCCAATTCAAGACCTGTTTTTCCTTTTATAGGAACCAGCTCTTCTTTTACTCATCCTCTTCTTTTTAATGAAACACCCAGACTTTGTTTTATCTTATTATGGAATTTTCTCAACAAAATGGAGGAGAAATATTGATAGCATGCAATTACTCTCTACTCATGTATCTCTTTTTCTTCTCTTCTGTAATGATACTGTTCCTCTTTTTCTCTCTTCTATTCACAACTTTCATTTTAAAAAAATTTTTTTTCTCTTCTCTTTTCTGTCTTCCTCTTTTCCACTGACCTGGAACTTTCAAATTCAATCAGAGGCTGAAAATTGATTCAAGTGTGACTTTCCTTGGCTGTGAAGCATTATAATGAATCAGTGTCCTCAACAGAGGAACTATTTTTCCTAAGAATACAGTATTGGTAGGACCTATTAAAGAGCTAGTCTAAATACAGTGTTGGAAATGCTGCCCAAAATCCATAACTCTCTACATGTTTCTAACTGAAAATAGTTTGTATTCCTTGAATTGCTTGATGTAAGGTTCTGTGAATTGAATATATTTTTATTTATAATATAAGAGAGCAAATGTTTAGAATTAAATTTTGTGAGTTTTTTGAAAATTTTATTTTAGGTTGTTTGGGACCACTCTTACAAAATTGGTTGTGCTGTTACTCCATGTTCAAGAATTGGACGTATTAAACATGCAGCGATTTTCGTATGCAACTATGCACCAGGGTAAGTTATTTTAAATTAATAAAAGAATATAAAACTAAACTGAGAACATTTCAAGGTTAAATTTTCCTAAATTTTAATATATTATTTTAAGTATTTGTTATGAGCTTACATTGAAATATTTTCAATTCCATAATGAAATAAGTCATAACTTGGGCATATTGATTTTACTTGTAAACTAGCCAAGTATTACTTCCTAGAGGAATCTTTACTTTAGTACTATTTCATAATAGCTAGCCCAATTACATAGGATTTAAATGATTTTCCAAAATAGTTTATTCCCATATTTATAATAAGACTGTATTCATTTTTCTGATACATTATAAACTATTCTAATCTTTATATGAGTATCTATATATTCAGAATATTTTCTCTTCTTTATTATTTTTATTCCTTTTGTTCTCTGTTCTTTAGGAACACTAACTTGTATATTTCTCTGCACTACATATTTCCTTTCTTTTTTCATATATATTTTGGTTTCTATTCTTCATCTTTGTGTTCTGAATTTTTCAAGGTTATCTTTGACTCATAATTTCTTTAAGGCCAAATCTGTTTTATTCTCCCATTTTGTATTTATTTCCTGTGACTACTTTAACAAATTACCACAAAATAGATGGCTTAAGAAAATAGAAATTTATTCTCTCACTGTTCTGGAGGCCTAAAGTCCTAAATCAAGGTATTAGTAGGACTGTTCTCAATCAAAAGGCTCTAAGAATCTGTTTCTTAATTTTTTCCAGCTTCTGGTGGCTCTAGTTCCTGGTCTTGTGATATATCACTTTAATTTCTTCCACTGTGGTTGCATTGCCTCTTCCACTTCTGTGTGTCTAGTGCTGAATCCCCCTTCTCTCTCTCTTATAAGGATAAATACATGTGATTGTGTTTAGCTTTCACCCAAATAATCCAGAATAAACTAGGTCTTCATAAGATCCTCATCTTAATCATGTCCTTGCTATATAAGGTAATATTTGATCTTTTGCCATGTGAAGTAATCATAAGTTCTGGAAATTGGGACCTAGACATATCTTTTGTGGGGGCACCATTCAGCCCACTACACATTATAATTCTCAATGTGGTTATTTTATTTTCATTTCTACTGAGTATTTAATGCTATTGTAATGGATTGATTTTCAGCCAACTGTCCTTAAGAGAGATAATTGTGATTCCCTATTTGGGGTACATAATCAAATAAAAATTGGACTGAGTTGACTGATATATGCAACCTAGATCCTTCACAGGTAGACTTGCCAATACTCATATCAAAGGAAAAAGGGTTTATATTAATACAAATTTCAAGACAAAAATGCCAATGAGACAGGAGAGTAGAAAAAGAAAGGGTAATCATAAGAATTAGTAGTTTTATCTGTCACTGTAATCATGGGTGATAACTCTGCACTCACTATTCTTATGGTCACCAAATACCTTTATCTTATCAAATGGGGTACTGTCAGTTCTCTTCTCTCAATTTTTCTTATTCACACAGGAGCATCTCATATAGTTAACCACTTTGGGCTTGATGACTCATGTTCTTCACTTGAACTCCAAGTACCCTACCAGCAGGTATTTTTGGTTTCTCTCTTACCCTATTAGTCTCTCCTCACTCTTCTTTACTAGCTCTTTTGCCTAAGGTTGAAATAGTGTAGTGCTCCAGGATTTAGTCCTTAAATTAAGTCTCCATATTCATTCTCTCACAAAATGATCTCATACAGGACTGTGACTCATTTATATTTCAGGGCCTTTATACCAGAAGTTTCCTCTAATTAGAAATTTACAACAGACCTTCAAATGGCTACCTCCTTCTTGTGATTCATTCACATTTCCCGCGTTTATTTTTCTACCTAATATGCCTAAACATAAAGCATGTCTCTTGATCTTTTCTCTTTCTGTGTTTTTCTACATACATAAAAATTTATTATGTAATGGTATATACCATATTGTAATCATTTTTAGACATTTTAAACAGAAGTTTAAATACATAAAGTGCAAATAATCCATATAACACATTTAAAGTGATGACAATGAAGAGCTATGAGAAATTTTAAATTGTGCAGTGATAACAATATTACATTCATTGTCTGGCCAGCCATGATTTTAAGACATCACTAATTATAAATAGATTCTGATTTCAGATATGTTAAAATAGGAAAAGATGTACATTTTAGAATTATAAAACATAGTATATAACTGAAAGAAAAGATTCACAAAACAATATATATCTCTAATATGTATAATAAAAGAAAACCAAATTATATGAAATAATAGTTTATTCATAGTTAAGTACAACTTTATAATCTATTTCATACTTTAAAATATCAGTTTTAATGTACCAAATTTGATTCATGACCTATCAATGTCTTATGACTTGCAGTTTAAAAAAAATGGCCAATTTAGAACACGCTAGATGTTTGGCAGTGAAGAGAAGGAAATGGGGTAGAAGTGTAGAATTGAATGAAAGGGAATTTTTTTTTCAACTTTGGTTACTAATGCATTTTATAAGTTAGCAAAGCCATCTATAAATGGAGAATGATAGAATGTATTAGAAAATTGAGAAATAGAGAATTGAAAGAGCAAGTTCTATCTGGAAAGAGGCAAAAGCAAATTATATGAAAAGAAAATGCTGAGAAATTCTTAATAGTGAATATTTTTCTTCCCTTCTTGCTTATAGGGGTTCATGAGAATATGTACTTTGATTTTGATAGATGAATTAAGTATCTATTCATTGTGGTTCCCCCATTTTCCTATTATAAAATTTATTTTACATCATTATAGGAGAGGGCTTGTTTTCCAACTACCTTGATAACAATGTATTTTCAAACATTTTGGTCTTTACTAGTATGAGCTCAGTATATTTTTAATTTTCACCTCTGCAAAGGTTCTCTGCCTCTTACATGAGTCCAGTGAGACAGAACACTTGCATAATAGGTCAACAAAGCAAATTTATTACTTTCAGATAGGCAGCAAGAACAAAAAGAAGCCTAGGATTTATGGCAAGCCAGTCCACCAAGGCTCAGGAAAGCTGCTCAAGGAGGATGGAGTCTCATATGTACGTACCCCACATTGCACCGCAACTGAGAGATCCTGAAACCACTCTGCCCTGGGTTTTATACCCTGGGCACAACTTGGATCACTGAGCTCAAGTGTTACAGAATATCCTGTTCTAGGTGGGATGAGGATATTGCCTGGGGTGTTCCAGTTTCTCCTTATCTCAGGATGCTGCATTCTTGGCACATTCTAAAGTTATTCTGAGAACTACAAGTTGGAGGGGGAAGAACTGGGTTGGCCAAGGCCATCTGAAGACCTGTCCTCCTGCAGTCTCCTATTTCAAGTATCTGTGAGTTTAGGTATCTTTTTGTGCATTTCAGAAATTTTGGATTTCATTTTCTGATACCTAAATATTCCTATACATTCATTTTTTTTTCTCATAAATTGTTAGATCTTTCTTTTTCGGTTGTAGGAATTATTTATATATCAAGAAAATTAGCTCTTTTATGTAATGTACTTTACAAATATCTTCCCTGTTTGATGTTTAACTTTTGACTTCACAATGCAATTTATTTTTGTCAGGTGGAATACTTTTGTTTCATTGTAGAAAAATGTATCAATGCCTTTGTCATGGGTTTTGAGGTTTGTGTCATACTTAAATAAGCCTTCCCAAAATGTTATTGCTATTTTTAATTATCTCACATTTCTTCTACCAATTCTGTTTTTTAACTTATTTGATCCATTTTGCTTCTGGACATTTTGTAAACTGTTATAAGAATTAGTCTCCAACTTGAAATCACCTTAAAGACTGGACAAAACATATAAAGCAACTATTTTCAGGCATTAGAAAACAACTAGTGCAGGTCTATGATCTTTCAGTATAGAAAATAACTCAGTAGGAATCACATATTTGCCCTGGTTTTCTCCCTAAAAGTGATTCCCAAATTGCAGCCAGAGAAACAATTCCAAGCAAAGAATGTGTCTTTTGCTGTACAATGGAGATATCGGTATCTGTTGATGCTAAGGTGTCTGGTATTTGGGACCAGGATCCCACAGAAGGAGGAAGCTACAAAGAAGGAACCCCAAAAATCTATGTAAAAACTCTCTGCAGGCCCTTGGCCAAATCCACAAGGCAAGATTCTGGAAGGATTAGCAAGCAGGGAACAGTGATTTGGATACTGGAGTTCCTGAGGTAAAGAAATGAATGCAGTGAAATCAGTCAGAAAACTGTTGTGAGTTGTTCATTCCCAGGGGAATGGTAGGTTGGAGAAGTATTTAAGACATTTTTAGAATAAATTACTGGATTTTAGAATAAATTACTGCATAAATTACTGGATTTGTAGGTCATTGCATTAAGTAATGAGAGAGAAGAAAGAGCCAAGAAAGATTCTCAGATTTATTATTCAAGCATGAATGGTATTGTCATTAACTGTGGTGGGGAGCACTGAAACTTTAGGGAGGGAGGATGGTGAGTTCTATTATGGACATACTGAATTTGAGTTGGTTGTGAAATATTTGCTTTGAGATGTTTGGTAAGCAGTGTTTATAAGGATCAGAAGCTCATGAGTGGCATGTGGCATAGAATAACTATTTGGAGTGCCAGGATACGTATGGTAATCAAAATCATAGGAGTAGATGGAATTATTTACTAAGAGAGTATACAGTGAGAAATGTCATGCCAACATTTAAGGACAGTTAGAGGAAGATAAGGGAGGAGGGGGAACTTAAGAAGTAGTTGTCAGATAGGTAGAAGAAAAAAGCAGAAAAGTATGGGATCATAGGAGACATGGAGGAAAATGTTTTCAGTAGGATGAAGTAGTCTAAAATTTCAAATTCTAAGAGGTTGAGTAAAGTAAGAACTTAAAAATATGAGATTTAGAGAGAGGTTAATTGATAAACATACAGAGTCATTTCTGTGGAATAGGAGAGACGGATGCCAGATTGGAATTAATTGAAAACAGAGAGAAAATTGAGGAATTGGAAACAGTATAATCAGCTTGTTCAAGACATTTGGTTGTGAGAGATAAGAAAGAGGTAGCTGAACAAAGAATAAGATTAAGATGTTTTGTTGTTTTTATTTAGTTTAGTTTTTAAAATGGGAAAAGATGCAAGTATATTTAAATGAAGTACCTAATACAAAATTAAAGTAATTCTTTATACAGAATAAAGGCAGAGTATATGTAATTAAGGATACAATCCTAGAGAAGACAGATGGGTATAGGAGGAATTAGCCTCAAAAAGGAGGAGCAGTTCTTTAGTTTTGTTAGAAAGGAAGGAGAGTTGGGGTAGTTATATTTGCTGTATTTAGGAACAGGAAATTTCCCAAGTTCCACTCTAAAGGCTATTATTTTTCTCAGTGAAGTAGGACAGATCATGTCCTGAGAATAAAAGAGGAGACAGTTGAGCTGGGATTTTGAGATTTGGGAGGGTTTGAAATAGTTATTGTGGAAAATGAGAGAGGAAGCTGATTGGGAAACCACAGAGGGATTCTCTACCTAGTTTAATCATTTTTTCTCTAGCAGTACCTAGCAGCCCTGAAGTAGGAATGGAGCATGTAGATGTAGGAGCATGTAGGAGTCCTTCACTTTTTCCAATGCTGACATTTGGTCAGGTGGATGTGAAGGAAAATACTGTAGAGTTTCAGATTTTGGCCAGAGAATATGTGAAGCAATGGACCTAAGCTGAGTGGGGAAGAGACAATTGGATGGATAGGGAGAGAACAGGAAAGAAAATAGACTTGAAGTGGCATTAAAATTAATGAATAAGTGTGGCAAGAGTAAGTGACCTGGAAGGATAGAAGGTTGTAGTCAGTGAGTGAATTGTCTAGTTTTGTGAGTCCAGGGTGGAGCAGTTTTAGGGGATAACAAGATTCAGAATATAGCTATAAAAGTAACAGTTATGGAGTATTGGAAAGGGTATTGATGGTGATAACACCCAGTAACAGATACACCAAAGTATTGAATGATTATCAATATGAATGTTGTAATCAACTAGATCCCAAATTCTGAGACATCAGCAAAATTTTGACTAAAAAAGATGATACCTCAGATGCCCAAGTCTTCAGTGAATAATGCTTAGAAGGTAGATAGCTCTCTTGAGAAGGATTAGAGAATGGTATAGCTAAATAATATCAACCTCAAAGGAGCTTTGTCAGCATTTAATTGTGATCCAAAGTTCTTTAGATGCTGGATGTGCAAGTGAAGGGAGGAGACCTGGCCTATGGAGTTTTACAGAAAGTGATGTAAGGTAGCTTTGCACATACAGAAATAATTTGAGGCGGAAAACAACAAGGTCCACACTTTCTTTGACGTTGAATAGGCCCAGGAAGTAGTCATGGAATTTTTGACAAAGACAAATATATAAGATGTGTCAGAAGGACAGCCAGATAGGATCTCTAACTAAAATATCTTCCTTGCTGCTTCTTGTGTTATATTTTTCTCAAACTTACTGTAATAGATTCTTTAAGTCTTCTTGGAAAATTTATAGATCTTCCACATACAAACCAGAAGCCAGTGTTGTGATACATAGAAGTAGTAAAAATGAAAGGAGTTGTAGGTGGTCTAGTTGTTCTGGCTACATGAAATAGGAAAGTCAACATCTATTTAATGTGCTTTGGCTATTGTTCCATGAACAATGTACAGATTATATGAATCTGGATGGAGAATGTTGAAGAATTGCAGACAAATTATAATTGCTATATTGTCAACCTACAGGGCTGGATTATATCTTTGATGAACAAGGTGGTAGCAGATATGGGTCTAGTGTAAGCAAAGAAAGTTTTTACCACTACCAGAATTGTGCTGTCATTCTGAAAGACTGTATATCTATTACAAAATTTGAATAATGGTCAACGTTTTTTAAGCCATCCAGACAACATATCCTTAACTAGGGCCTGGACACATGCCTTATAGGCATGTACTGAAGGCATTGTACTGAAGGTATGGCCAGATATGAGGCCAAGAAAAGTTCTATAGGGAGATCTTCAGTCTTGACTTGGTCTCTGTGAACCACTGAGCTGCTTCTTAGAAAAAGCAAATACCCAAAAATAGAGTATGTCATCTGTTATCTTCAGGCATTGCTGGGACAGCTATGAAATTTCAACGGACTTTGCTGGCTGGACTTACCTGTTGCTTCCTCCTAATATGGTCCAATAATTCCAGTTGCATTTGGGAGTCGTATTGCAGTTTCAGACTTGAGTTAATTTAGATTCAACTTCTTAGAAACTGAGAACTAAAGAAGATTGACATAGGAAAATATTAGCCTCACATTTCTGGCTATCTAATGTAAATAATGATTATGAAATTTAAATCTTTGAAAAAAAAGGACTCATTCTAGCATAGTGTTGGTTTATTTATTTTTATTTATATATGTATACATTTATGTATTTATTTGTTTATTTGCCTTCCCAGAGTTCTTCCAAGCTACAATTATCAGATGTTGTGATCACAGGGTGATTGACTTATGCTCTAGGTCTCAAAGGCAGTTTTTTTTTTAGTGAGTAGCTTTTTGTATAAGTACAAGGACAGAGTGCCCCCCATCCCTGGAGTCTGAGGAAGGGATAAGCTGCCTTTGTGTTGGAGGCATCTGTTTCAGTGATAAAGGCTCAGGGCAGGAAAAGTAAGCCAGTGTACAACTAAAGGTGACTAGATCAATTCCTGAATTTCTGGAAAGCTGATGCTCTGGCTGGGTACTAAACAAAATGTATTTCTTCCTTGAAATGGTTTGAAAGTAGAACAGTAAAGTTGGAGAAATGATATATGATCTGCAAATAACTACTGGATAAATAACTGCAAATAACCAAAGACCTATGGATGTTCCTGATGGACTTCAGTGCTCACAATTCAAGGGTATCAGATACCTTATTGGGTATTACCAAAACCCTCTGATTAAATAAGATGTCTCATAAATTTGATATTTAGGTTTTTGAATATATATTTCTTAGGTTTGACCATTCTTCTAGATGGCCTGGTGTGGCCTAAACAAGGACTTATATGCCTAATGTTTATGTTCATAGCTTCCAACTCCACACTAGGTAAATAGGCAATCCTGTTTAAATGACCTGGATTAGTGATCTCCCCCATTCAAAAGTATTTTTTCCCTATGTGTCTTCTTTTTTTTATTCTAGATCCTTTATATAAATTTCCCAATTTATATCTACTTTGGGGCTTTTTTTCCCTAGTTAGCTATAATTTCTTACTCTTTTCAGCTCTGTATAATGGATGAAATCAACTTTGTAAAATTTATTTATACTTATTTGCTTGTTTATATATTTATGCATTTTTATATAGACCTCAAAATAATCCATGCAGCTGAGTTTTTGAGACAATAAGCATTTCAGGATTTTGTAAACTCTTCAAATGATTATATCATTTCTATAAAATTTTTTATAAATTTGTACCAACTAGAAAGCAATTAATTATAAATCATCCTATATAATGTATTTTTAAAGGATACATTCTGCTACAAACTAAAATGAAAGAAGCTTTAAAACCCATTATTATCTTTCAATTACAATTCTTTTTTTCAATGACATGGGAATTAGTTTCAGAAAAGACTGTTTTCTGGGGGGACAAAAGGGAAAGATTACATCTCTAATTTATGTATTTTCTTAAGTCTATATTCTTAGTTAAATCACCTTTTTAAACTAATTAAATATTGGTAATAATATTATTTAAATAACATTAAAATCTTGAAACTTCTCTAACTAAATGTTTTCTGCTTTTTTGCAGAGGAACCCTGTCTAGAAGACCTTATGTACCAGGAAGAATTTGTACTAACTGTGATGCACGTGACAGATGCACAGATTTTCTATGCAGTAAGATAAAGAAAATAACTTAACCATGAAAAGAAAAAAAATCCATAATGCATTGGACAACAAGGAAAAGGAAGTTCTTTTTTTGTTGTTGTTTTGGTTGTTTTTGAGACGGAGTCTTGCTCTGTTGCCTGGGCTAGAGTGCCGTGGCATCAGCCTAGTTCACAGCAACCTCAAACTCGTGGGCTCAAACAATCCTTCTGCCTCAGCCTCCTGAGTAGCTGGGACTATAGGTATGTGCCACCATGCCCGGCTAATTTTTCTATATATTTCTAGTTGTCCGGCTAATTTCTTTCTATTTTTAGTAGAGATGGGGTCTCACTCTTGCTGAGACTGGTCTCAAACTCCTGACCTCAAGTGATCCTCCCCCGTCCCCTCAGTCTCCCAGAGTGCTAGGATTGTAGGCATGAGCTACTATGCCAGGCTGCAAAAAGTTCTTAAACACTAGTTTTTTATTGTCATGTTAATATTATTCCTTTGATCAGAATGCTATTATTATATTATCAAAGGAAAATTAACACAATACCATCTTTAGATTTATCTGAACTGCAGAGCCTTTTCTGCTCTTCCTCACTCTTGTTCCTACCCCTAGGGACATACCAGAGTGTCAGGAAGAAGGAATGGGAACTAACAGTTATACCAGGAAAAGGCTTCACAGTTAATTCCTGAAATAATATCCTATTTGACAATGACTGCTTTAAAGGATAGGCTATTCTAAAATATTTATAAAGAGAAAAAAATTAGTAAATATTTAATAGCCTTTTCTTTTAGTTTTTCTCCAGAAAAACTAAAATCTATAAATATGCAGAAAGTAAAAAGTAGACAATGTGTTTAATTAAATTATTCTTTTAGTTTTTCCAAACATAAGAGCATATACTCCAAAAGTATAACTAAACAATGCTTAGAGGGATCTAGTAGAGGATAAATTCAGACAGTAAGTAAATATCATATTATGCATTTGTACTGAAAAAAAAAAAACTAGTAGACATTCTCATCATAACCACTGCTGGGGTGAATCCACCCTAACATTTCTACTTTTGCTTTATTTGAATCAAGATGCAAAGTCTTGCTCTTAGAGGCATCCAAGTGTGATATGTTAGATCCTAAACAGGATGACAAGGGATCCATACAAGGTGTGACAGGTATGGGGAAAGAGCCTAAGGAGGGCGAGGAAGCTTTCCCCACAGAGGTGTGGCCTCATATGGGAAGTCAGAGCCCTCATGAAATGAAGTGACATCCATACATGAGGTCTGGCTTGGGGTATCAGAGCCAGAGCAGCATGAAAGGATGCCCATACAGGGTGGCTCAGTATGTGGTATCTGCCCAAGCAAGGTGAGGAAGGTATCAACATGGGGTGGGAGGGAAAAGCCTGGCATAGGGTTTCTGCATCTTAGTAAGTAAGAAAGGCATCCATAGGCCGGGCGCGGTGGCTCACACCTGTAATCCTAGCTCTTGGGAGGCCGAGACGGGCGGATTGCTCAAGGTCAGGAGTTCAAAACCAGCCTGAGCAAGAGCAAGACCCCGTCTCTACTATAAATAGAAAGAAATTCATTGGCCAACTGATATATATATAAAAAATTAGCCGGGCATGGTGGCGCATGCCTGTAGTCCCAGCTACTCGGGAGGCTGAGGCAGAAGGATCGCTCGAGCCCAGGAGTTTGAGGTTGCTGTGAGCTAGGCTAACGCCACGGCACTCACTCTAGCCTGGGCAACAAAGTGAGACTCTGTCTCAAAAAAAAAAAAAAAAAAAAAAACAAAACAACAAAGGCATCCATGGACAGATAGTTGTTAAAGCCCAAGCAAAACGAGGAGAAAAATCACATATAGGTGTGGCCTGACAAGAGGTTTCAGACCCTAAGCAGGTAAAGGGACCATCAGTGCTTAGGGGCAACCTTACACAAAGTATCAGAGTCCAAATTAGGTAAAGAAGGCTTTAATGTGGGGAAGATGACCTGGCATAAGTGGAATCAGAGTCCTAGTTGGGTAAGAAGGGAATCTACACATTGCAGAAGCCCAGAACTGAGTTTCAAAGTCTGAACAGGGTGGGAGGGTGTACAAGTAGAAGGCCAACCTGTAGGTTGACAGATTACAAATTTTTTTAGTATAAATATATTCCAAATATTACATTGAACATACTTATACTAAAAGAATTATTTCTTATTTTCTGAAATTCAAATTTAACCTGACATTCTTTATTTTTATTTGTTAAATCTGGCCCACTCTACCAGCCCAACGTGGGGTGTTCAAGCCCAAGAAGGTTGAGGAGGACACTTATGTGAGGCAGGGGGTAGACAGTGATGGGAGAGTGAAAGCATACTGGGAAATTGATCAAATAAGTAAATAAATTAAAGATAATGGGAGCTAGTTTTATCACTGTCAGAAATAGAGTACAAATATGTAAAGGAAAAAAACAAGCATGAATCTTGTGGTGAATTAGAATGAGAAGAATTAACACTTAAGAATTTTCATAAATATAAATAAACATAGATATATATGTTTATATATGTATGTATTAACATACATATATTTCCTAGCTCTGAGAGGGCTTTGGAGAAACTGACCCCCAAAGCATTAAGCATAACTAGCAGCCAGATCTTGGTTTCTAAGTTCTAGTCTATAAGAAAAAGAACCAGGGCTCATTGAAGAAAAGTCTAATTCCAGGGCTAGGGCAGGGAAAGTATGAGATAAATCTGGGAATATCTTTTTCTACTTGAAACCAAGGAAATACTCAAAAAATGATGAGGATGTAACAAAAAGACGCAGATACCATCTTAAATCTGGGACAATTTGAAGAATGAAATAATGATAAAAGTACTTAATTATGACCCATTCGATAAAACAGGAAAACATGAATTCATACTAATATAGATTAATAAATTAATAAATTAAAAATTTGTTGAGAAACAGTGTATTTACCTAGTAACAAAGTAACTCCTTATAAAAATATTTAGATACTAAGGGTAAAAGAGTAACTTTACAGTGGAGCAACCTGGCAGGCACCACCCTAATCAGGTGATCAAAGTGAATATCATTAGTAAAGGGAAAACCATATCCTACCTGAGAGGATGGAAGGAGAATAGCATAGTATCATTTCTTGTGGCATTTCTAGCAAAGATGCATAATCTAATCCAATCACAAGGAAGCATCAAATAAACGCAAATTGCAGATTTGTTTAAAAATTGAAGATTTGTCTACAAAATAACTGGCTTTTTACTTTCAAAAATATGAAGATTGGCCGGGCATGGTGTCTCATGCCTGTAATCCTAGCACTCTGGGAGGCCGAGGCCAGAGGATCACTCTAGGTCAGGAGTTAGAAACCAGCCTGAGCAAGAGCGAGAACCTGTCTCTACTAAAAAAATAGAAAGAAATTAATTGGCCAACTAAAAATATATAGAAAAAATTAGCCGGGCATGGTGGTGCATGCCTGTAGTCCCAGGTACTCGGGAGGCTGAGGCAGAAGGATTGCTTGAGCCCAGGAGTTTGAGGTTGCTGATGCCATAGCACTCTAGCCAGGGCAACAGAGTGGGACTGTCTCAAAAAAAAAGTGAAGATCATGTAAGTCAAAGATAGAAGAGCATGAAAAACAAATGCAACACATGGTTCTGAATGGGATTCTTTTGCTATAAAGGGCACTATTGGTACAATTAGCAAAAATTGAATGGGATCTGTAGATTAGATTCTGTTAGATTAGTTACATATTAATGTAACTATTAATTTCCTGATTTTGATGATTATATTGTGGCTATGTAGAAAATTATCCTTGTTTGTAGGAAATGCAAACTAACTACTCTGGCATGATTAGGCATCAGGTTGACAACCTGCATTCAAATGATGGAAAATAAGTTATTTGTACTATATTGAAACTTTTTAAAGTTAGAAATTATTTCAAATTTATTTAAATTTCTAAAAATAAAAAGTTATAAAAATCTTAGGAAGTAAATCGGTTTTGCTTTTGTAATAGTTCAAAGGATAAAAGAGCTTCATATTAAAGTATTTGTAAGAGAAATAAAGATGATGAGACCAATTTGATATTTATAGAGAAAAATTATCAAATCGTGGGGACTAATCTGATCTGGTGATGGGAAAAAGAGAAAGTATAAGATAAATACCAGATTTGGTGTTTGGATGACCAATGATGCAGTTAATTGAGACATGAGTTTTATGAAGAAGGGAAGCTATAGAGAATAGATGATGAGTTCAGTTTTGATCATTATTAGCTTTAAATACCTGTGTAAGGTCTCAAGAGATAAGGCTAATAAACTTGAAGTTCAAGTCAGGGCTATATTTAAGAATAATATATAGGTGAAGCTAAAAATATAAAAGAGGAAGAACTCATTTGGTTATAACACATAGAGAAGATGAAATCCCGAGGAAGAAAAACAGTGAGAAATACTGAAAGAGAATGGGAAAAAACAATAGGAAAAATACAAGGAGAAGAGAGAAAGGTATCTATGTCTATAAAACAGATTGTTGGAATTTTGATAGAAATTACATTAAACCTATAGATCTACTTGGGGATAATGTGCATTGACTATATTGGATCTTCCAATTCATATACACAATTTGTTTTTTCATTTATTGCAATATTCTTTGAGTCCTTTTATCGATATCTTACTCCTTTCAGAATTTAGATTGTTAGATTTATCCCTTCATATTTTATTTTTTGGCTTTGTTGTAAATGGCATTTTAAAATGTTTCTGTTATTGATTTTATTATGGTCAGAGAACACACACTGTATTTGGATTTCAGGTTTTTAAAAAAATTGTAAAAGTTTGTTATTTGGCCTGATATGTGCTATCTTGGCATATGTGCCAGGGCTATTTGAAAAGAATGTGATTCTGCTGTTGTTGGGGGTAGTATTCTATAAATATCAATCTGATTATGTTGGTTGATAGTGTTGTTGCATCATTATATATCCTTATTTTATATCTAGTTTTTCTATCATTTTTTCAGAGAGGGATATTGAAGTCTTCTACTGTAATTATAGATGTTTACATTTCTCCTCTCAGTTCTGTCAGTTTTCCTTTATGTATATTGAAACTCTGTTGTTAAGTATACACACAATTAGAATTATTATGCTTTCTTGGTGAATTGACCATTTTATCAGTCAACATGTAATATCCCTCTTTATCCCAGATAATGTTCTTTGCTCTGAAGTCTATTTTGTCTATATTAATATAGCCACTTCAGCTTTCTGTTCATTTAGGTTTATTTTTAAACTACTTATATTATTATATTTCAAGTGAGTTTCTTATAGACAGCATGCTTTTAATCCATTCTGACAATCTCTTTTAATTGGTATATTCAGATGATTTACACTTAATGTAATTATTAATATGTTTGAATTTAGATCTACCATTTCATTATCTATTTTTTGTTTTTTCCCTCTGTTTTTTATTGCTGTTTCCATTTTTATTTCTTCCTTCAGGTTATTTGAACATTTTTTCATACTCCATTTAATTTGTCTGTTGTGATTTTGACATATCTCTATAAAATTTTTAGTGGTTGCTCTAGGGATAAAAACATGCATACTTAATTTTTCACAATATATTTACAATCAGTAGTTGACCACTTCAATTGGAATGTAGAAACCTTACCACATATGGATCCCATTTCCTTCCCCATATATTCTATAGTTGTCTTGCATATTATATTTTTATACATTGAAAATGCCATCAATGATATACTTTTATTTTCAACTCTCAAATATATTTTAAAGAACTCAAAAGGAAAAAATAGCCTGTTTTAAATAGCCATTCTTAATATTTCAGTCTTTTTTCTGGTATCATTTACCTCCTATATGAAGAATTTACTTTAGCAATTCTGTTATTATAAAACAGATCTGCCTTCTGCAAATTCCCTAAGAGTTCCTTCATTTGAAAATTGGCCAGGTGTGGCAGCTCACACTTGTAGTCCTAGCAAGTAGGGAGGCCAAGGCATGCGGATCACTTGAGCTCAGGAGCAAGCTCAGCCTGAGCAAGAACAAGACCCCATCTCTACAAAAAAATAGAAAAAATTAGCCATGTGTGGTGGCATGTCTCAGCTACTTGGGATGGTGAGGCAGGAGGATTGCTTGAGTCCAGGAGTTTGAGGTTGCAGTGAGCTATGATGATGCCACTGTACTTTACCCAGGGCAACAGAGAAAGACCCTGTGAAAGAGAGAGAGAGAGAGAGAGAGAGAGAGAGAGAAGAGGAGGGAAGAATGAAAGGAAAGGTAAGCAAAGGAAAGGGGAAAGGAAAGGAAAGGGCTTTATTTCTTCTTCATTCCTGAAGGCTATTTTTGCTAGATATAGAATTTTTCTCTTGAGTTGTTTTTTGTTTTCTTAGGTTTTTTTCATTTTAGCACTTCAAAAATATTGTGCCGCTTCCTTTTGGACTCTGGTTTCTGATGAGAAAGTCACAGTCATTTAAGTCTTTGTTTCTTTATAGGTAATGTCATTTTCCTCTGGATCCTTTTAATATTTTTTTGGATCTATAATTTTTTAGCAGTTTTATTATGAAGTTTCTGAGTATAGATTTCTTTGGTTTTATTTTGTTGGATATATGCTCAGCTTCTTGAATATGTAGATGTGTATCTTTTTCCAAATGTGGGAATTTTTCATACATTATTTTCCCAAATATTTTTTTCAGCACCATGCTTATTTTTCTTCTGGGTCTCTGATGACATGAAAGTTAGAACTTCTGTTGTTGTCCCACAGGGTCCCTGAGACTCTTATAATTTTTTAAAATATTTTTTCTCTTTCATATTGGATCATTTCTGTTGATTTCTCTTCAAGTTCACAGACTCTTCTGTCATCCCTAGTTTGCTATTGAGTCCTTTCTGGTTTTTCTGTTGTTGTTATTATATTTCTTAGTTCTAGAATTTCTATTTAGTTCTTCATTATATCTTCTATTTCTTGGCTGATACTTTCTATCATAACTTTTATTTCAAAGTCTTTTGCTAACTCCTTTACCTGATTCATCTTACCACTGGTAGTGATCATTACTTGCCTTTTCTCATTTCAGTTGATATTTTTGTGGTTGAATTATATCCTATAATTTTGAATATATCATTATGTGACATTAGATCCTGTTTAAAGTTTATGGAGAATTGAATTCATGCTTTCAAAGGTACTTAACCTGGTTAGGTTGATACCATAATTTCTAACCTACTATCTGTGGGCTGTGGTTTCAAAGTTCAATTTTCAAAGCCTTTAAGGTGCTATTCAGATCTATCCCAAAAGAACACCACCCAGTGGTCACTTTGGGATGTAGGGAAACTTTTACTAATTATCTTAGTTCTTAAGGTATTTGGTGTACTAATTAGTATCAGGTCTACATGCCTGAGTGAGCCCAGAAACTCATAAACAGATCTGTAGTGTTTCTTTTTATCTCTTCTGAACTGTTCCCTCTCTGGTATCTATTAATATCTGGTGCTGTCCAGTTCCGTTTTCTGTAGTCTTGAGCCATGTTCAAGGCCTAAGCAGCAGGAGGACAGAGATAGAAAAAAGAAAATAAGGAAATGTTGCCCTGCCCTCTTAAAGCCACAGACCAAACAAATGGAGAAGAAAATTCTCCCCCTCAGAATTTTTGGCTCTTTTGGTTCCTCTTGCTGACCACCTTCACTGCCACCACATCACTGCCATCAGATTGCCTGGGAGCTGGAACATAAGAGAATGGATTAAAAAGAGAAAAAAAATTACCAACTGATTTACCTGCTCTTTCTGTTTCCCACTGCTTGACCCAGAATCAGATTGCTCTGCTAGGTCTCTCTCTGTCTGCACCATAGTGCTTATTTGTAGGTTTTGGGCAGTATTGCACTCAGGCTGAGAGGTACTAGAAAGGGAAAAATTGGTGAACTTACCACCAGTTCAATAGCACTTTAAATTCTGGTGTCCTTTCTCAAGCTGCCTACAGCTATTTATTTTTCAAAGTTCTCAAATAGCTGCCTATACATTCTATCCAGGTTATAGTTTTATTCAATGGGAGAAAAAGGTTAGAATGTGTTTATGCCATCTTATCAAGAAATAGAACTGGAGGATCAGTTTCTAAATAGTGAAATAAGTTTCGCTCTCCTTTCTCCTTGTAAGTCACTAAGAAACTACAAAGGGAACAAGAAATAAATATAAACTCTAATTTCACTGAAATTGGGGTTATTTGCACCCCTCTACCAAGTATACATAAAGGCAGTCAAGTTCAGAGAAGTCATCTGTACAGTAATTGCAGATCTCAAAGCCCATAGAGCACACTTTAAAAGTAGGTGGCAAATCCTGAGGGACAAACTCAACAATTACTTTTCTGAGACAATAGCAAGAATGTATAGGTTGGAATGAGGAACTTCTAAGAAGTTTTCTACCAAAGAGAAGTAGAAGAAGCAGTCTGTAATAGGTTGAATAATGTCCCCTCCAAATTTAGATTTACCCAAAATATCAAAATGTGATCTTATTTGGAAAGGAAGTTTTTGCATATATAATTAGTAAATATGAGGTTATACTGCATTAGAGTGAATCCTAAATCCACTGATTGGTATCTATATTAAAGATATTAGAGGAGGAAAGGACATATAAGGGCACACTCGGAGAAAAGAAGGCCATGTGAAGATGGAGACAAAGATTGGAGTGATGCAGCTGCAAGCTAAGGAATGCCAAAAATTGCCAGGAGCCACCAGAAGGCAGGAAGAGGCAAGAAAGGATCCTTCCCTCAAGGCTTCAAAAGGTACAGGTGTAGGCCCTGCCAACACCTTGATTTCAGAATTGTAGCATCTACAACTGTGAGAGGATACATTTTTATTCTTTTAAGCCATCCAGTTTGCCATAATTTTTTAGTAGCTCAGGAAACTAATACACAGCCAGAATGAGAAATCACCTAGAAAATGACACATTTGCAGTAAGAAGTTTGTCCTGAGCAAAGAAAACTTGTATTTTGACAACCTTGCAACTGCCAATCTTTGTCCAATAGGGAGAAAAAGACTAAGAAGGACCTCACATATACAGTCTTGTGACTTAAAGAAATTTACCAGTGAGCAAAACAAATTCCAGTTAGCCTGGAGACTGACCTGGCTCTTCTACACAGCAGCCTGCAAATACCTGGTCTGGGAAAAACTCATTTGTTTAAAAATAAATAATGTGGCAGGCAAACCCTAAGGTGACCACCAAAGATTCTTACTTTCTCTTATTCAAGCCCTTACATAATCTCATCCTTTTGTGGGTGGGACCTGTGACATACTTCTGACCATTAAAATACAACAAAGGTAATATAATGCCACTCATGGTTGCATTATATTATATGGCAAAAGTGATGGGGTATCACTCTTGTACCTACTCACTGTGGTTCTGCTGGCTTTGTAGAAGCAAGCAATCATGTTGTTAACTGCCTGTGGAAAGAATAATGTGACAATGTAACAGAGAACTACAGGTAGCCTCTGTGAGCTGGTCGTAGTCTCCACCCAAAAGCCAGCAAAACCCTGAAGCTCTCAGTCCTACAGCCACAAGGAAATGAATTCTGCCAAGAATCTAAGTAAGCTTGAAAGCAGAATCTTCTTCACTTAAGCTTTCAGATGAGAACACACTCCAGTTGACATTTTGATTTCAGCCTGGTGACACCCTAAAGCCAAGAACACAGTCAAGCCATGCCTGGGCTCCTAGCCACAGAATCTGTGAGGTAATAAATGTGTTGTTTTAAGTTGTCAAGTTTGTAATAATTTGCTACACACTATAGACAACTAATACAAATAATCAAGAAAAAAGATCAATACATCATCTATATCCCCCGCCCCCACCCCCAAAAAAACCCTCCAAAACAAGCAAATGGCGAAAGAAAATGCTCACCGGAATAATACTGCCAAGGAACATATAGAAAATAACAGATATAGCATCTTTTAAAAAGAACTTTGTAAAGCAGCTTAAAATAAGAGCTCAAAAACAAAGACACAAAGGTCATGGGAGATTTGTCAAGATGACACAAGAGAAAATCATTGGTAGAACACAGGAAAAATAAATAAAACCATTACAGAAGTGAAAATCACATTGGAAACAGCAAAAGGAAAGACAAACACTGGAAAACACAGTAAGGGATATAGAGGTCATGATTGGGAAATGTAAGCAAGGAATTTAAAAGATTAAAGAGGAAACTATAAGTATGCAAAGATAAATCAGCTTTAACATGTAAATATTTGTAAGCCATGAAAAACAGAACCAAAATAATAGCACAGAAAATGAAACTAAAGATAGATATATAGCTATTAAAGAATTAATAAAACAAACTTTACAGAAATAAAAATATTTGAATGTAAGCATTGAAAATGCATACTGCATGCCAGGAAAAAGTGACACAAAATATTCAACATAATAAACATAGCCTAGTAAGTCACTGGACATCAGTGGAAAAGAAAGAATCCATAGGTATCCAAGCAAAAATGTAAGATTGTTTATTAGAAAGTTTAACAGTCTAAGTTGAATCAGAAAAACATCCACTCTAAGTATTTTGGCAAAGAAGTGTTTAACATAGGAAATACAGGGTACATGAATATTGTAAACACTAAGGGTCAAGGAAGTTGCCACAGAAAAGCAGAGAAATGGCAGCAAAGCAGATAAGTCCCCATTTTACCAAAAAGCCACTGTGAATCTCACATCTATTCAAGTCTGCCTGGCCTACAATCACCTCTGGAGAATAATGGTCTTCACTTTTCTTACATCTTCCAAATTTCACTTGTGTTCCTATCACTAGCAAACTCAAACCTGAGCTATACAGAGAAAGGAATTTACAGAACTGTAGTTTCCAGTTTTGGCTCTACAGTATAGAATCAACTTTACACTGGTATGGTAGTAATGACTCTATGGCAATTGACATTCTAACATAAAAATTAGAAAAAATTAGAAAAATTAGGAAAAATTCAGTCTGGCCTCAAATTCTACACCATAACAGTTACCACTAAGACACAGTGAAGTGTTGCCTATAATATAAGAAGTGTCAACCAAGAGTTTATATACAGGCAAACCTATAATTATTCAAGTATAAGGAGCAATTAGACAAATGTTTTGGGAGCATGCAGTAACTGTTAGTGTGTATTTCTCATGAGCACTTCCTCAGTAAACTCCTAGAGGATGACCTTCAACAAAAAGAAGAGATGAACGGAAAAACTGTGGTGAAGGAACTATAAGCATTGAACCCTAATTTATAGACTAAGACTAAAATAATCTAAGGATTATAGTTAAAAAACAAAATGTAAATATTAATATAATAATGGCATATACAAATGATATAATTAATGAAACTTGGGAGATAAAGAAAGAGGTAGAAAAATATGCTTATTTCCTCGCCATTTATAGCTAGGGACAAAAATACAGATAACCATTTAAAGCTGATAAATCAAATAATAGAGATGTAAATAAATTTAAATGTGTTTATTTAATAAAATGCAAAAGTAAAAGAAAATGTAATCAATAAAAATTAGTGATGAGAAGTGAAGAAAGGTGCAAAGAAGAAACTATTACATAATTGCTTATACTTAGGGATCAATAGATATTAATACATATACACCAAATGAGATAATATAGACCATTTGGTGAAAGAGTTTTTTAAAAGAAGTTCTAATATAGAAATCATTACATAAAATATGAAGTAATACCAAGCACCGAAGGCTAAAATAACCTCAGAGATCCAACAGAAGGTCAGTTCATTTCCAAGGTACGTGAAGAATGAGTTCTGAATTTTCCACTAGGAGTAATATGATTATAAGACAAAGCCCCTTGTTGCCATTAGGCTTTCTGTGTGTGAGAACTCAATTATCCTCCCACTCCTCTTCCTAGTGTAATTCTTTTTTTTTTTTATTTTTTTTTTGTGGTTTATTATCTCTTTTCTATTTTAGTATATTATGGGTGTACAAGTCTTAAGGTTACATATATTGCCCATGCCCCCCTCCCCCCTCAAGTAAGAGCTTTCTGTAATGGTTGTCTGACTCTCTGTGCTCAGGTGAGCAAAAGAAAGGGAACAACACTATTATATCATTGGGCTAGATAATTAAAAACATTTAATACCAGGCTATAGAGTTAACTTTGTCATCTGGGAAATGAACAGCAACTAAAAGCTTCTAAAAATAAGAATTAAGTAAGGAAAGTGAGTAGATTCATAAGATTAATTTGGAGTGATCGGAAGAGAAAAAAAGAGATGAAAATAAGAGATGTTGTAGAATCCTAGAATGTCAGAACTGGATCAATCTTTATAAGATTTGTAAGTGACTTATATAAGGTGACACAATGATTTTGAGAATTAGTATTAAAATCTATATTTCCTCACTTCTGTACTTCTATACTCTCTCTAGCAGATCAGGCTGACTTTTACTAAAAGAGAATATATTACAGTTTATAATTAGCCACTGGTTTTGTGGGGGGTGGGGGTAACGTCAAAGATGATGGCATGATGCCTGAAAACTAGAAGAATGGTGGCACTATTGTTGGAAAAATTATCTAATTTTCTAGAGAAAGAAAAAATGTTACATAATTCTTTATGGACTTTGTTTTTCTTTCTAGGTAATGCAGATCGTGACCAAGCCACATGTATGTATTGTCCTTTATTTCTTGAACAATTTAACTACTTTATGTGAAATCCAGCTTTCAATTGCTTCTTTATTTACAGATTACCGATTTTGGTATCCAAAGTGGGAAGTGCCCCGGCCACTTGTGTGTGATCCACTGTGCATATTTATTTTATTACTGAGAATGGTATGTTTTATACTATGTGTCATAATTGTTTTCATAGTACAGCCTTATTTTCCAAATGTCTTATTGGAACGACAGATATTTGCCCCTGAATCTGAAGCAAAGAAAGAAAAAGAGAAGGGACAAAAGGATATGAAGGAAGAGGAAGAGGATGAGGAAATGGAAGAAGAAGAAGAAGAGGAGGAAGAGAAAGAGTAAGAAGAGAAAACAGAAAGGGAGAAAGAAGCGGACTGATTGGGGAAAAAGATGTACCTTAAGCCAAAAGTATAATACCAAAAAAAAAGCAAAAAAAATAAAACACTGAGCTTTAACAAGAAAGAAAGTATGCAAACCACTATTGCATGCATAACTTTGCATATTCCCTTCTCTTTTCTACTCTTATTCAACACATTTAAACTTGAAAAACAAAGAAACAAACAAAAATATGTATAATAAGTATTAAGGTGAGCTCTTCAACACTAAGAACAGATAAAGATGTGATTATAGAAAAACTACAAAATATTTGACCAGTCTAATTAATCATATGATTTAACTATGGTATCCTGATAAAGGAGGGAATTTCCTCTATATATGTTTCCATCTCTGTGCTTTTAATATTTTTTTAAATGAGTTAATAAGCTTCCTGAGAATTAAATAAGATTATTCATGTAAGGTGCTTAAGACCATTCCAAGTTCAGAACAACCATTGAATAAACATTTGGGGTTTTTAAAATTTTTATTATTACTATCATAGTTGTTATTAGTGGTAGTGGTATTTTCCATGTGATATCAAGGCATCTAATATCATTATTTGTGGTGTATGTTTTTGTAATGGTTTAAGTGGTACCTGTACATCCTGTTAGGAGATAAATTTATTATTTCTACTTCATGTTCAATATTTTAGTAATTTGTTGCCACCCAAGGCTAATAATTACTTGTGATTGAGCAATCTGGCTGCTCCCAAATCTACATAATAAAATAAATCAATTTTTAAAAAGTTATTTACTTGTTGTTCAATATGTATAGTAAAAATTCATAAATTAGTAAGATATGTTAACTACTTACCACTGATAATACTAATAAATGAACTGAATAAAAATACCTAGCATAGCAAAATATGTCAGATAATATATACACTCTATATTTATTAACTCTATTGTTCTTTTTTTGTATCAATATTATATTAAAAGCCTGATGTTAAATGGCATCAGATGAGAATTATACAAAATAAAAAGCCCTGAGCTATCCTCTTGGATTTGAGAGTTTGTGGTTTATTTCTTTGTTTGTTTCATTTGCTTTGTTTTATGTTTTTCAAGAACTATGGCTTTTATAGATTAAAATTTTTGATTTCTATGAAGTCAGCCTCTTTTCTACCCAGCCTCCTAAGAAAAAGCCTTAAAGAAAAGGGCTGGTTCTCTACAGTGATTTTATTTATTATTATTACTGTACATTTGTATTCTACTTCATAGTTTCCAAAGCGCTTTCACAGAAGTATTTAATACTCAAAATCACTCTGTGAAGCTGGTATTGCCTCCATTTTTTAAATCAGACAACTGATCTCAGATTTGTGAAATGGTTCAGCAGAGGACTGAGAACAAATTAACTTCTAAACATTTTGATGCTTTTATAAGTTATTGTAAATTCTTCATGATGCCATGTTTAATTCCCACATATGACTAGCTTGTTATGTATCTGTATGCCTAAATTCTAATCTACTTTTCTACATGTTCTCTGGATAATTTCATGGAATGTTATGATTGCTGTATAGGCCAATAGTTCTTAACTGGGGGCAGTTCCCACCCACTCCCCCTCAGAGTGTTTGGAACTATCTGGAAACATTTTTGATTGTCATGACTAGGGCTTTGCTGCTGGTATCTAGTGGGTCACAAATGCTGCTAAACATTCTACAATACACAGAATAGTCCAAGGCTGGTGGAGTAATTTGGGCTTTTAGACCTAATGATCTTTGATCCAGCTACTCACCAGTTCTCTTTGAAACACAATTGTAAGCATTCCAGTGGTTACTAGTTGAGACTATACCTCCTAATGAGAGACTCTAATAATTTTAAGATCGTAGATTCCAAAAGAACTTGGACAATGTCACAAAAGCATTTAAATAAGAAACAGCTCAGCAAAGAGAACCGATTAAATATAAATGATATATTCAGAAACCTGCAAAGATGAGTAGCATGGGAGGAGACCATAGGATCTGTGAACAATGGGAAGCCACCTCCTTGGGGCCAAGACTGACTCCATGAGATGAATTACCTCTAACCATAAGAGTCTCTTACGGTTTACAAATGATAAAGCTTTACAAATGATAAAGCTTGGCTTTTAGTGGCAATGCTTGATAAACAGATTTGTGTCTGAAAGAATGCCAGCTAACAGAAAATTTCTAGTTGAAAAACAAAGTTGGGTATATGAGCAAAATGGACAGAATTATATTAATATATGGTGTGGCTGGCATAAACTCCCACTAAAATAACTAAATGAGATGGATGGATACATTGATATCTGCTATTGTTGATATCTGTTTATGTAATGACTCAGTGACCAATGTTCTAACAGTATGTTTTGGCAAGTGGTACACAGTGAACCACACATAAAAATACCATTATTTGAAGGCTGGTTTGAAAAAAAAAGCATTAGACTTTTATCTAAAAACATATATTTTTCATGTTGGTGCCCTTTAATCACATTCAAAGGAAGAAGGTGATAGTTGTTGATACTGTAAGATATATTTATTTGTGTAAGCTTTGACAATGTTAGGTCCCTGAGATGAGTGTACATTGGGCTGAAAGCTAGGTATAAATAGACACAATTCCAGAAATTGATCTTGTTTTTTGGAATTGTCCAGATTATAAATAGTCAAAGACATTTACATTTTAATCATTAAACAGATTCCCAGGTTGCATGGCCCAACACCCATGGGACCAATAAATTTTAACTAGGTTTTCTCTGATATTGACAATTTTTCTGGTTTTGACTTTAGGATTGAGACCTTAACAAAGACACAAAAGGCTAGAAGGCCAAACTATCTACAAATACAGACCCATATTTAGATATCAACAAATTAGGGAATAGCATTTCATATTACAGACACTTAGAGGAGAGGAAGGACCAGCAAATTAGTATGACGTGATCTTCTGAATAAGTCACATTAACCACAACAAAGTAGAATAAATTAATTTTAAAATGGGCAGCTTAAACAATTACTAGGTAATATTTGGGGTGACAGTATTAAGGAGCAACATTCCATATTAAAAGTATGTATTACAAATCCACATTGAAGGGCAATAAAGATAGATGATCACCAGATCACGCTAAGAGCTGGCATTGGCAATGAGGGGGTAGAGATGAAAGATGTAACATAATTAGCCAAGTAATTTTTTAAAAAATCTTATTCCAGTCTTTATTATTTTAAAAGCAGAGATTTAATTATATGTCTTCTAGATAAAAACATTAAAATTCTAGTAATCTGTGACTGGCTATACAAATATGACTGTTATGGTTTCATCAATAGGATCAATGGGGTGGATCAGCCCTGCCTCTTAGGACTAAGACAGCTTCCAGCAGGAGGAAATCTCCACAGACAACATACTTATTAAATGTTTTGAATGTACTTTGGGAATTAACAAAAAGAACTTCATCATGCCATATTTTCTACTCATTATTTGAAGTATTTCTCCAGGCAATCTCCTCTGACAGGGAAAACATACATAAGGAAATACGCAGATGGAGGAAAATATAAGTGGTGGCAGAATCAGGTAAGTCTATTTTGGCCCTTTATAGAACAGTAGAGAATCAGAGAATGTTCCCTTAGCGTTCTTACTCCATACATCTGTACCCCTTAGGAAGGATCTGGACAGAAGGCTCTAGCACTGATCCAACCATTTTGAGTCTGTAGCTATGGAATTGAACAAAAGATTATCCCATATGGGCCATAAAGAATGAGCATTCTGCATGTAGCCAATTCCTAATAGGATAGTTGCAATTTGGAAATAAAAGTGGAAAGAGTAGGTTATTTAATCAGTATTGAGATCTCCCCCCCCTAAGAACCCAAGGAAAAATTTACCTGGTTAAACGGCCAGCCAGAAATGCAAAGCACTCGTCATATCTTATAATCTAGCAAGGTATTGAAATGTATACCAGGTTCTGAAAAGCAGTAGAAAGGATATAAAAGTGGCTTGCTCTACATAAATTTGCTGCATTATTTTGTGCATAAGGAAAATGGCATTGCTTTTGTAGATGGTCTCCAAATCCTGTGTGAAAAGAATATTCTTGACATAACATAGTGCAATGATAATTGATTTAGGGACCATGGACCAGAGTAAA